AGAGAGAACCCCCATGAGGAGTTGAACTCATGACAGGCAGCTCAGGGGTACAGCGCCGCTACCGGCTGAGCTACGGGGGCGCGAAGGCGCCTGACGACCGATGGTCGACAACAGGCCTGTGCGGCAACAAAAATANACAGGCAAACAGACAGAGAGACAGAGAGAGAGAGAGAGAGAGGGGGGGGGGGGGGGGATTAGTCATTAATCCCTATTCCTATAGGTGTTCCGTTTTATAACATTTATTACTTTTTTGGATTTCTTCGATTTATTACTTTTTTTTCTAGAAAATTCCATTTGAAGGATTTTACCATTTTTTATATTTGGATCTTTCCATTTTTAGGATTTTCAAATATATTTTTTTGCATTTTTTGGAATTTTAGTATTTTTCCCTTTTTTGAATTTTAGTTTCAGGATTTCAGGATTTTTGAATTGTTCGGTTTTTTAATTTTTTAGGATTTTCTGATTTTTTAGAGTTTATTTAAATTTTAAGGATTTTAGAATTTTCTGGATATTTTGATTTTTCAAGATTTTTTTGATTTTTGGAATTTTAGAATTTTAGAATTTTAGAATTTCGGAATTTTTGAATTTCTGATTTTCTGAATTTCCGAATTTTGAGAATTTTAGAATTTTAATATTTCCGAAATTTAGAATTTCTGATTTTCTGAATTTTTGGAATTTCTGAATTTCTGAATTTCCGTATTTTTTGTAATTTTGAGTTTTAGAATTTTTTGAATTTCCGAATTTTTGGAATTTTGAGTTTCTGAATTTCTGAATTTCTGAATTTTCTGAATTTCTGAATTTCTGAATTTCTGAATTTCTGAATTTCTGAATTTTTGAATTTCTGAACATCAAATTTTCCTTTATTCATCAAATTCTGATCATTGCTCCATGTTTTTGTATTTTTTCTTATTTTTTCCCGCTGATAAATACAAAAATCGTATAGTCTGTCTGTCTGAAAATATAATTAACTTTACTTTTTCTAATTTCCTGTTTTTTTAGCCACGCCCCCTCATTTTTGGAGGCGGAGCCTAGAAATCTGGGGTTTTCAGCTTAAAATTACCATAAAATTCGTCATTTTCAAGCAGGATCAGGCCGAAAAAATTAGCATAAAGGCCTTTTGTATAAAAATGCACCATTTTTTGAGAAACAAAAAAAATCCAGAAAATTTTTCTGCAAAAAAAATGTTTTTCTTGAAAAATGAAAATTTTCGATTTTCTCTCTGGAAACGCAATTCCAGACATTTTTAAATGCAAAATTTGAATTTCCCGCCTATTTTTAACCCTAGAACGGCGGATTTTAGAGTGATTTACAAATTTTGGTGTTTGCACAGAATCGGAGCTACAGTAATCCCGGAAAATTAAAAAATTGAGTTAGAGACGCAGAGAAAACGAATTCTAGACTAGATTTTTGTGTTAATTTCGAATTTGAAGTTAGTTTTCACCTATTTCAAATAGTTTAGCCTTAAAAATAAGAAAAATCCAAAAAAAAAATTTCGAAAAAAGGTGTTTTTTTTCTGAAAAATTGAAAATTCTCGATTTTCTCTCTGAAACCGCGGGTTTAGACATCTTTAAGTTACAAATTTGAATTTCGCGCCTGTTTTTATCTTTAGAACGGTGCTTTTTAGAGAGATTTGCAAATTTCGGTGTTTGCACAGAATCGAAGCTACAGTAATCCTGGGAAAATTCAAAAACTGAGTTAGAGACGCAGAGAAAACGAATTTCTAGGCTAGATTTTTGTGCTAAAATTGAATTTAGCGTTGTTTTTAACTTATTTCTAGTGGTTTAGCCTGGAAATTCGAAAAAAAATGCGTTCCTAAAAGTTAGGATTTGGAAAGCAAATATTCAAAGCTGTATATCTCCAAAACCAAAAAAGCTATCAAAAAGTGTAGTTAACCACTTTTTGATAGCGCTTTTAGTTTTTGAGATATGCGCCTTTAAACTTTTTGGACGCGCGCTTCGGGAGGAG